ATTTTTAAAGGAACATAAGAGTTTTTTTTTTAATGTAAAAACTGTAAATGTAATATAATAACGTAATAAAAATATATATTAAGATTCATTAAATGTATAAAATAATCATTATAGTATTTAACATTCTAATTATGTTCTAATAATAAATAATGTAATTTATTACATTTATTTTTTGTTTATTTTTATGTATAATTATTAATTTATATTTAAAATTTTTCTTAAAATTTTTAAAAAATTCATATTATTTAATAAAAGTTAAATTTCTTAATTAATTGGATAAATAAAGATGAAACTGTTTAGGGTGAGAATATACAAGGTTCGTCCCTTGTATATTATAACACCGATTAATTTTTTAAAATATTTGTCATTTTATAAAGTAAAATAACGTGATAGTTAATTAGAGCGATAATGTTGTTAACACTGGGATTTTCAAAAAATTATTTGACAGTTTTGTTGGCAACCATACGTCACACTAGATACTGCGTTAGGTTAAACTTCCATGACGTCACTGCCGCAGTATCATGTGATCTCCTCTGCGGACGTCTTCTTTTGTGGACGCAATGTTGACATAGATCACTAAGGAAATAACATTTTATATCATACGATTTAGACATAATGAGTCTCTACAGGATATATCCTTCTTCCAATTTAGAATAAATAATATACATGTATATACATATATATATAATAACGAGGTATATTATTTTTTCCTCCACATACGATGCTTACGCTTATTTTGAAGTTATGTGTGTTTTTTTTTTTTGTTTTTGTTACAGATTTTTAGGCAGAATATTATATACTTTGGGGTGAAATTTTTGTTTAATTTATTTCGTTTTGTGTTATAAAAAAAGGGTATTAGAAAGGTCATTAAAGATTGTTTCCGGGCTTAAATAATGATTACTAAAAATCAACCAAGTTAAACGAAAGTAGCAGCACTGACAATGTACACGACATTCTTTTCTAAGGTGCATTGACACTTCATTGAAAAGAAAAGAATCTTTCAAGCACCACTACATTCTACTTTTATAAAGAATAAAATGTTTTATTATATATATATATAAATGCTCATAAATTATACAGTTATTTTTATATAATTAAACAATAACATGAGCTGTATATGTATATGAATGACATAGAATTCAATGGCATTGAATACAATTATGCAAATATTTACATGTATATATGTGCAGTGAATTATTTTACTTATTAGGAATGAAAATAAGTGTTTAATAGTATTAATTTTTAAATAAAGACATTATTTATTGATCGTAATAGTATTTTATTTATTTATTTTTTATATTTTTAACAATATGCATATTTAGTTCAGCCATTCATCAAACATGACAGGGTCGAAGCTTCAATTGTATCATTTTTAACTATTTATAACTTTATTTATACAAATTAGATTAAAATAAATATTTCATGTTATTTTTTTTATTAAAAATTAAATAATATTTATATTTATATAAAGGAGTGCACTGTACATTTCTTATGTATGGAAGAGATTATTGAAGTCACAGCCTTTATATATATTTTTTATCTTATTTGTTGGATGTTAAAAAAAATATTCTTATAAAATATTTAACAATTTTTTAATAACATTTAGAGTGATTTAAGGGTTTAATTAAGCTTTAATTGANATAAAAAAATTAAATATAATTTATTAGTACATATTGACAAATCTATTGTATTTGAATTTGTAATTTACGAAGAAAAAAGGAAATGAACATATCAAATATTTAATTAATAATGACTAAAATTTTAGACAGTCATGATCAGAATCTACTCCTGACATATCTCATATTGTATTATTCAACTTCATGGCAATCTCATATTGTAGATTATTACAGTAAACCCCGTGATAATTCTGAGCACTATGAAGCTGTCCGGGATTGTCCCAAGAAATTGTTTGCAGCAGTCCCAAATAGCCACATTTAACTACCCAGGTATGGAAAGAGAGACGTTACCCTATCTACATTATGATATATAATAAATAAATAGCACAAAATACATTATAATCCATATTTACAGAGATATCTATAAACTTAATATGACACTTGTGATAAAAACACTAACTGAAAGAATAAAATCTTTCAAAACAACATGTTTT